CAAGTGAATTATTTGTTTTTCCAATAGTTTTTCCTTCACTAACTTTTTATCTAATAATTAGGAAGAACAATTGATTTTGCGTGGTAAACAGTAAACAGATGCATTTTCACACACAAAAAAAGGGATAATTTTAGCAGCGGTATCAAACCTTTCATTTAATAGCAGACTTTGCCCAAACTTTTTATTTGTACCACTCACGGTACCAAATTTTTTATTTGTACCACCCATAATACCAAACCTTTCAAAATATTGTAGTTGAAGTCCAAATGGATAGTTTCTATTAGTTTGACTGTTAGTTGACTAAATAATTGATCTTGACAATAATTTTAATTAATTTTAAAAGGTTAAAATGATAATTTTACATTTTTATAATAAAATAACCAAAACCAAATAATTAAAATTAAAAACTCATTTTCACATTCTTTTTCTCCATCCACCCCACACGCCCCCACCCCCAAAACCGTCACCACCACTACCAGACGACCCAACCGTACCCATTTAACGTCGGCGCCACTGCCATCTCCTCCACCACCACCACATTCATTCCCATCATTCAACAAATCTTCAAACCCAAAGGTCATCGCAAGAACTCCACCGCCACCGATTCAGACGATGGCAATCCTTCCACATCAACATCTTCCAACGCCGCAAGCACCAATTCTAATGTATCTACTCCCAACCCAACATGTAGACTTCACGAGTGCGCCATCTGCCACAAGTCGTTCCCTACAGGACAAGCTTTAGGTGGCCACAAGTGGCACCACTAAGAAGGTACCATCGTTGGAGGCAATGGGAGCTCCAAAGAGGCATCACCTCTTCCGACGGCGATGTGGCCAGCCATAGCACTAGCCACGCCTCAAAGGACTTCGATCTGAATCTGCCGCAACGCCAGAGTTCCAATTAGCATATCCCATCATGTTGACATTAGCAGTTGGCCTAGTTATAAGTGTTATGCTCTACGTCCAATCAACTTTGGACATAAACACTTTAAATATATATAATTGATGCATGCATGACAATATTTATTATTTAATTGAATTAATATTCTAACAAATTAAATAATAGAATCCGTGCATTCAAGTTTTGGTGATTTGTGAATCACAAGGAGTTGTAATTGTGAGATACAAATTACAAATGATCGAATCTTAAATCGTCCGTGGTTGAAGTAA